ATAAGTTCCATCACACTCCTGTGTGTAAGATGCTGATTCCCACAGCCAAGGATTCAGAACGCACCACTAGTCTGTGACTAGTCCTCCCACTTTGCAACCTTCTTGGCAATGTTCCACCTGGCCATCGACGTGGCAGCGTGATAACACACGGAGACTCACATGGAGTTAGTACTTCAAATGGCTTGCGTGCAATGTGTACATAACACAGCTTTAAACAGGTCAGAAACACGCTTTCGCTACATCAGAGTCCCATCCAATTTGCACCCCCCCTGTAGGATAGCAGGGCTTGTGAAGCAGCTCTTGCGCCCGCTCACTGTCACCTTGTCTCACATAAAACCCCTTCTGGTAGAGCACCACACCAATGCCAGATCCAGTACCACGACCCTGTGGCGGATATAGGGTGAAGCTCCTAGGATTGAAACAGTGGGCACCCATATTAGGCCACATAAACATACTAAAAAGTGTACATGTGTCACAGTACAAAGCACAATTTACAACAATCCATGCAAACTAGTGTCTGCCTGGTACAAGGCGAAGGGATTGGCAAATCAGGCAACTCTGCAGCCCTAAGGATCTCCAAACCTTCTTGGGACTTGTCGGCCCGCTTCTGGGTAGCAAATTTCTTTGCTTTGGGGGATAGCTTGACTTTTGGAGTCTTGGGTCCCTTAAGCTCAACTTCTGGCTTTTTCTCAGGGCTCACTTGGACAGAACTGTCCGCAGCACCCTTGAACTCACAGTCAAGCTGTCGACGGAGGCGCTTGCGGGTAGTGCTTGCTGCTTGTTCTTTCTTGTCCAAAGCGGCTGCCTTTGCCTGTGCTTTCTCCAACTTCTTCTGCGCTTTCTCAAGAGCCCTTGCTACTGCTTCTTTCTTTTTCTTTTCAATGTTCTGTTTTTTCTCTTCTGCCTTTTCCTTAGCTTCCTCATCAAGCTGTTTCTTCAACTCTCGTTGGGAACGCACATTGGTCCCCACAGATTCACTTGGAACCGGCCCAACCAGTTTCTCCACATGCTCCGGCAGGGATGGTGGGTTGGGAATGAGTTCACTACGCTCTGCTGGAATGCTTTTGCATTTCTTCTTTAGGGGTTCGGTTGGCATGTCCGAGGCAGGGTTGCCCTCAACAGGACCACCTGCAGGAGGGTCATCTGGCACCTGTGAATCTGTCCAATCAGCTGCGCCATCAACACAAACATGTACAGGAGAGTCTGGCACCTGTGAATCTGTCCAATCAGCTGGAATCAAAGGGGAGTCACTGATGACAACAGCCGACTCAGAACAAGCAGCGGCTGACCCCGCTCCAGCACGCGCACCACTCTGCCCGCTTGATGCGGCTTGTCCCGAGCATTGCATAGAAGTAGCCACTGTCGCGACCAAAGGATCAGCCTGCAAATGCAAAAAAAACAAAATGAAACTATACACTGCTGTACAGTTTTACAGACAATGCAGGGTGTGTTTTCCATGTCAGTCCCCCAACCTGCATAGCACCTGGATGCCTTTCAAAAAAATTTTCGAATACGGACAGAATATGGCTCCATGTCAGCTGACATATCGATATCCTTATTTTGGAATCAACTGGAAAACACATTCCAGCAATCAGCGCTAGCCCACACAAAATTAGAACATGTTTGTAAATTAGATTTGGCCAAGCAACCGCACTAGTGCTCCCTGTGTCGCTACCAGCAGCAGGCACAATGACACTAGCACTTGCAGACATAGGCTCAACCACTGCCTTACTGTACATGCATGGATAAGCAGTACTGCAGGTTTTGGCACCAGCATTTCATCAAAGTGTTTCGACAAGTTACTGGGGTGTCTTCCTCGTGATCGACTTCAGACTTGCATTCCTGCAAGGGTCTCCGATCCACAGACTCCACAAAGTTCACACTCAAAATCATGGGCTCATCATCGTACTCGACCGCCAATGACTCCACATCCTGCAATCGTAGTGGTTGGCTTCAAATTATGCATGGTTAACACCAGCACACATGAAATTGAGGCTTCCAAAAAGTTGTTACCCACCTCCACAGGAGCCTGTAGCTGTGGAGGTGGCATCAAGGCCTGTTGCGCCTGGTGAGATCTCATGTGATGAGATGTCAAACACTTGAGTCAACAAGAGACCATTTCAATACTTACCGGTCGAGTGTACAAACATACAAAGGTTCCATGCCTGGTCTGCCTTCAGACTGCGGAAAGCCAACACTATGCCCTTCAAGACTTTGATCTTTTCAATCCTCACAAGAAAAGTTAAGGCTGTTGGGACATGCTAGGGCTGTGCCTGGAAAAGTTTACAATCTATAATTGCACATACACGCGCCTGGCTTCAGCCGTGCGGTTCGTCAAAACCACAAGATATGACAAGAGCTTCCGGATCCGCATTGCTTCAGTGTTTGCCCAATCCTAAGTACCATTCGCAGAATCTTAAGCTGTTGGAATACTAGTCTGGATATTTGCAACTTCATGTACATGTATGCATGCAGAGCTTGATGCAAGCAAAAATCCTTAATGCGTCCTTTGCCACCACGACGGTGGTGCAGGTCGCAATGGAAGTTGGATCTCAAGCTTAGCAAGAGAAATGCGGCCTGCAGCAACATCACATGTAGTTTTGCCTAGTACTCATATTTGGACTCTTTTTTGGAACTAGGAAATGCCATACGACTACATCGGACTCAGACAGGCCTCAAAGTCACAGAGCTTGGGAATCTCAGCCATCTTGCCGTCAGGTCGTGGCGGGTTGGCCAAGCTTAGCTCCATGCATCCATAAATCATTTCCTTGCATACCTCGAAATTCTGTTCCAAGTCTGATTCTGTGATAACCTGACGATCCCTTGCGTCCAGATGGACGACCTCCTTGTCCTCATGAGCCATGATGGTCGGTCCCCATTTCTTGGCATATTTCGCGAGGGGATCATAGAGCTTCTGACCAATCACCTTATATAGTCAAGAAAGTAGCAAAGAACATACTAGTACTAGCTAGGACAATAACTTCATTCATTCATTGCAAACTGTTTGTTTTTGAAATCTTAGCCAGGCAAGATACCGAGACTTTGAATCGCATGGGCTTTGAGACATGAAGCTCATCACCCACTAGAGCCTCAACAATCGCCATTGCCGCTCCCGTCCGAGGTGGAACTCTGAGCCTGAATCCCTGAGATGGGACGCCGAGACCATGTATCTAAAGCAAACAGTAAGCAAATCAGTAAACGACACAAATGCAGCTGCAGACCAGTGGTGGGCAAAGCGTACCTTTCAGAGCTGCCGATCTCAATAGCCCCATTGCTCAGCAGTGACTACAAATTTGAGATACGTTATGTTTGATATGTTAACATCACTCAATTTCCAACAGCTGATGGCCACTGATCTGATGGCCTTAAGAGGATTAGTCACTGGTTTCACTCGACACCTGACCCGAATGCAGGAAAGAATGGACATGTGTGCAGTAGTCAAGACCATGATCTCAGGTTTTAGTACCCAAAAGAGTAAACAATAACATGAAACAGTCTGAAAGTGTTGATTTCATGCGCTGCCACTGCTAGGATTCCACCAGCACGCACTTTGCGAACAGAGCCATGCTCACAAGGTTTTTGGAATGTAATGGACCAGTTATGCTCTGAGAGTACGATTAGCGAAGTATACAATTATTGATAACCTGGACCTCTAGGGCATATAAAGTAGATATTAGTAGACAGTAGATCTTGTCAACGGACATGGGGGGGAGAGACTCTCGGTACAAGTAGCATCAATGAACCAATGAAAAGAACATGGGTACTAACCAAAAAAACAAATATGTATGTATATATATATATGTACCAGGGCCTTCAAGGGGTGGTTAATGGACACCCCTTAACGTCTAAGCGGCTATAAATAGACACCCCTTGGAGGGTCCTGGTATATATGAATATGCATGTACTGAATGAATATATACTATTCTATATTATACGAGCAAGACTAACCACCTGTACTTCTGTGAACTGCAGGTCACCGTTGACTCCAAGTGCACACCTGGACCCTCCAAGTAGATCAGAAAATGGGACACGTCCCCTTTAATAGGAACAGAAGCTTGTACTCATTTTCCGAGGTACGAACTGAGACTACAAGTATATCATAACCCCTTGTAATTACACCTCCCAGCCGCTAAAAGATAACAACGTGGGCATCCAAAAACAGACATCTTCTTGCTCTTCTTCGTTGGTCGAAAACAAAGACATGTCACCGCTACACTGGCTCCGTTGCGGCAACGTGCTGAAGTCGACATGGGAAAACTCCAGGACACCCCAACAGCCCAGATGGAGTCCGCCCAAGAGGCTGGTACAGAAGCGAAGAGTTGCAGCGCTGTGCTCCACTGAGATCCCCGGACCTGAAGGATCAAACATCCAAACGCACAGACGTTAAGGGATGGGTTTGAGTGTTGGGGTTTGGATGAGTTTGGTGGGTTGGAGCTCCGCAGTAGAAAGACAAAGGACACCCATGTAACACAAATAAGCTGAAGAGCCCAACCTACCGAGGCAAAAATGAGTCGCAAGCACCAAGCTTGCAGTTGATGTTGAACATATCTCAAGGCATATACTTGGACTATCAACACTGAGTCATCTTCGGACACCCAAACAGGTCCAGGTACCTGGTCTAAGTACAGTATCCATTCCGAAACTATCGGGACAGGAGTATGCCTATATTCCACGGGACAGGGTGGTTTCTTTAAAGGGTCAGTGTCACGTCCTTGGACCCTCCGCAGTACCCGAGAACGACATGGCTCTGTAAAAAGAGGTACTTAAGTAGACATGGCTCTGAGGTAGGTAGCTACATATCTAGTTATTTGTTTGCGAGTCTGTTGAGGATGTTGATTCTTTTTTGCATGCCGCACGCCAATTTCTTCCCTTTCGGGAAACAAACCTTTTGGACCCCAACGACGCGTCAGAAAGCTCGTCGCGAGCACTGATTCAATTCACCAGGCACCCAGTCTTTATATAATGTCCTTAAAGTGACTGCTGCATAAAAAGGAAACGATGCAATGCAATTTATCCATAAAGGAGTCTATATTCAGGGCGAAAGTTCCCGCAACTTCGTTGCAGTCAGCAAAGGGTCGACCGGACCATCCAATTCGCACCAGTGCTCGATCATGAACTCTCTGGATCTAGTGGACTTGTGGAGAGCCCCGACTGAACAAGTTCTTTCTGTCTTCACATTGCCGTCCCCAGAAGAAAACAAACATTATTCTAACCTTACCCTGGCCAAGCAGCACAAGTACTGATCGAAGAAGAACAACCTGAACGCCAATGAGACTGTCCAGTGGCATACTTGTGTAAAGGATCCTCCTACCCATAAAGTCCATCCTGAGGATGTGCGTTTTGGATCCAGACACTGAACCCAAAAACCCTCAAAAACCATCCTCAGGACTCAGGAAGTATTCATACCTGGACCCGACGTCATTCGTTGGGACATGACGTACCCGATTTGGGTACGAACCGGCACGTCCGGGACGACACCCCAGCTGGAGACGTTCCAGATGTCGGCCCTGTTCGGTCCACCCTTCCTGCCGTATCTGACTGGAGCGTTTGTTGTGGGGGTGAACATGCGCACGAATCGGTTTGGGGGGGACCAGTGCCGATGAAATTAGAAGTAGGGAGAAACCCCAGTTTGACCCTCTACCAGTCTACCCATTTGGTTGGACCCTCTTAAACTGTTCTCCCAACTGGTCACAAACGGCCCCTTCCTACTCCGCGGGAGTGAAGTCGTTTTCCACGGTTTCCACGATGTCGCTCACCAGTGGTAGGTACGAGTCTCAAAGCTGAAAACCAGTCATGGTACCACCGTCCGCTAGGATACAAGAAATCGTGTTACTTGCTGCAAGGGCCCACAGGGACCGTCCCTTCAGGAGTCTCTTCCGGGAGTCTCTTCGTCAGTCTCGTCAGGGTCTTTGCATACCCCCAAACCATCCAGGCAAACCACGATGTCGCTGGGAGTCCCAGTGGTTCCAAAGACTGACACCATAGACCTAGAATCCCTGGTTCGTTATATAGTGGTAACTGGGATGCACTGGGCATGATTTCAGCGCTGATCGGATCATAGCGAGGATGGACGGCTGGGCTCCCAAAAACCTTTCCCTGGAGTCGAGGCCATCGCAAGTAGGATTGGAGGCCATCGCTACTATAAGTAGGGTGGAGGCCATCACTACTAGGGTGGAGGCTGCATTAACCTTAATATATTTACCATCCTATTTTACCTATATTGCCGCAGGTCGTACCTCGATCCTTATGTGACAGACTGTTCCAGTATGTGTTCAGTCTAAGAAACCATACTCATCCGGTGGAAAACCGCTGCTGCTGAAGTAGTGGACGGCCAGTTGCCACAAACCAGCAGGCTCGCAGGCGCCAATCAACGCCGTGATGGTGTAGCTGTCCTCGCGTCTGGGTCTCTGGGTCTGTGTAGATGCATGTAGATCCGCGTGTTGGCAAGAGAGGTCTGTGAACGGACATCTTCTGTGAACGGATCCGACGCCTCGTTCGAACCATGACCCGAACAAAAGAACTGGTACGACTGTACCCGGTATATATTGAGACTAAACGAAAATTCAAATATATTTCAAACAATTGTCAACATATTATATATAGCTCACATCCACCTCTGTAGTCTTCTAGTATCATGTGAAATTAGACTCAAAACAACTGTGCGCTTAGATGCGCGTATGTCGTCGGATGTTCCAAGGATACACCCTCCTGACCTTGTGGGATTTTGTGGGAACTCCTGCAGGAGGTAACACGAAGACCATTTCTAGAGCCCAGCACTGCGAATGGATGCATCCCAACCATGGGCAAGTGGAGTTCGATGCTAGTTTTTCCATCCCTACACTTTGGAGTTCTTCGTTCCCACACCCACATCGATCGAGCGGCGATCGAAAGCCACCGACCCAGGACCCGACCCAACACGTACCCGGACGTATCCCTCCGGTGAACTTTTGATATCATTTGGTGACAGATTCATATATGCATGATTCATGGATACCCCTCAACCTCTGAAGGGGTGCCCCTGTCACATCCACGGCTCCTTCGTGGGACTTTAGCAACCACTCCTTTTGTAATTCGATCTCAACCTTCTCGAACACAGGCGGGTGCTTCTTCCAATCCGATTCAAAACCACCCCCTCCCTTTGGTGGCCGTCCCGCTCACGCATCCAGCGCCGCGTCCCGCTCCAGCGCTACGGATCGCTCGCACATCTCGGAGGCGAGCGCCAGTGCCAGGGGCCTCATGGTTTCACTCGCGGAGGGAGTAGCGGTGGAGTTAGAGGGTGAAGCCACTGCAGAGCGCGGGCCTGGAGTTGACCCGTTCATACCTCAGAAAAATGGGTGCAAGCACCAGGAATTACAACATGTTGGGACCCCTTTGGAACTGTTGTTACTTGTTCCCCACTTTGACGTGTGTTTTTGGTTTTTAGTGTGGTATCCGCTCCTTCCTTCCTTCCCTCCTCCTCGTCGCTTGTCACCAACCAATTGTCACCAACCAATTGCTACTAACCAATTGTCACCAACCACCTGTCATCAACCAATGGCCACCAACCAAACGCCCCCCTACCAATTGTCACCAAAAAAATTGTCACCAACCAATTGCCACCAACCAATTAACACCCACCAATTGCCATCAACCAATTGCTATCAGCCAATTGTCGTCAACCAATTGTCATCAACAAAGTGCTACCAAGAAAAAGTTCACCATTATATAATTGCCACCAACCAATGGTCACCAACCAATTGCTACCAACCATATGTCATCAACCAATTGCCACCAACCAGTTGTCACCAACCAATTGCCACCCACAAAATTGTCACCAACCAATTGTCATCAATCATTTGCCACCAACCAATTGTCACCAACCAATTGCCACCCACAACCAATTGTCACCCACCAATTGTCATCAACCAATTGTAACCAACCGCTGTGCCGCTGTGATTTGCATGGCAGGCGCAGCACTTGGTGCTCTCCAGGGGGTGGGATGCATGCCTCTACCAGCATCACTCGCACATGCTGTGCGTACACCCACCACTCACCCCAAGAATCCTTACATGCTGTGCGTACACCCACCACTCACCCCAAGAATCCTTCACTCATCAACTCTGGTGTTTAAACGCAACCTTTGTTCTGTCTGCTGACGCGCAACCTGACACATAATTGCACAACAATTCCCGCACTCCTCCAACAACTTGCCCAACTGTTCACCGGCTGACCCGAAAGCAGCATGAGGCACATTCACCATGGCCGCGTCGATGTTTTACTTCCTCGCAGTGTACTCAGCTAGGTTTGACAATGCTGCTGGATTGTTCTGTGGCCCAACTCCAGCCAATCCATCAAGCCTGTATAGCCAAACTGGTTCACCAGCTCACCAGATCCGCAAAGACAAGATCTTGCAATGACTTGCCTATAGGCCTAGCTCCATGATCTGGTACCCTGCAAAAGCCGATGTCCTCTGCACTGCCATCTGCTCTCTGCGCACTGTACGCCTTGGCCCTCAGGGTGCTCGCGCGATCAAAATGTATATAGTGTTTTTCCAACCACACTTGCGAGTTTTGAAGCGCAATGTCACCAGCTTCCAGCCCGATCTCTCGTTCTGCATTCTCCACATACCGATCTCTAAACTGGTGCAGCCTCAGCATCTGTTGCAATGATCATCTTCTCTCTGTCCAGAGCTTGTGTCACACCACTCTGGTGTATTGAACTGGCAATCTTATAACATCTCTCAAGCGCTGAAGGATGTCCATGACAAATCTCCCTTGCCGCCCTGGGGTTGCTCTGCCTCCGAAAGTATCATGAAATGCCGCTGCCGTGGTTGCAACCACTCCTACACTGTATACGCTGCCATGTTTGCTGGAGGATCAGCAAACACCGCAGCATGATAGCCAAAGAAGCTGAACCACTGTGTGACACAGGTCTTGCCTTCTGTTTTGGCACCCGTATGGCCTGATTTGCTTTCCACCAAGCTGCTTTGGCACTGGAGGCGGTGGATACCATACAATTGGACCACCAAACTTTGGCGGTGGAGCGCCCCCACCAACAAAAGCTGTCTGAAAAGCAGCTGCGTCAGCCAAGTGTTTAGGTTGTGCTCTCTCAAGCCTGCCGTTCAAACATTGATCTTGCTCCAAACTGATTGCCTATTCTTCAGCACGATGTCCACCTTGCGTCTGCTCAACCGCATCGGGTGAAGCGACACTCCCTGACTCAACCGCGCCAGCTGATTTGGCCCTGTGACAGGATGCCTAATGCGAATGCCAGCGACCTGTCATCTGCAGGCACTGCCTTGCTAAAACGGCAAGTCACAGTTGGATCCACCCCAGATTGACGAAGGTGCCACCAAAGTGACTCTCAGGCGGCAAGCTTCTTGATGAATTGGACAGCACGGTGCATAGAATTCCACACCATCACGTTCCCGGTCGGTGAGAACTGCCACTCCGATGTTTGCCGTTTACTTGTAGTTGTACTTCTTCATGACCGGCCAGCCAGGCACCATTGCATCTACCGTCGTTGCGTCTCTGTCATGATGACACGATCTCCCCATTCAGCGAGAGATACTTGAACGTGTCAGGCACTGAACTTGCAAGACCCCAGTGATCGGCGGCCCGCCTAGCACCGCCGGAGGTCGGTTCAACAATGCCCTTATATAAGTGAAGTTCTTTCTGCGTAATTTGGCGGCCGTCATCTTGGCCAACGCAGCCTCCGTCAAGGACACAGAGCCAAAAATTGAATCGCTGCAGCCCAATGGCGAAGTGGTAGTTCTTGGTAACTAGAGCTTGTGGCTGCTGAATGTCTTGTTGGTTGGCAAGGGTGTTGTGATAGCCGTGGATGAAGACCAAGCAAAGACAAAGGCAGGAAAATTGAGCTCGACAAACCGACCGTGACGCATGGCTCATATCGGACCTCTTCGACGTCGTCGCGGAGTACGTGTCAGGCCGGGAGCCCGGTCGCCCGGGCTCCGAAGTAGAAAAAGGAAGTCGATCGTGATCGAACGACGAAACGTGTCGTTGCACCGCGCGGCCGTTTTGGACACTCGAGCCCGCCCTCTGCGAGCGGTGTTTGCGTTTGTTTCTGTGGTTATGCAAAAAATAAGTGGCCCCGCACGTCGGGCCTTTTCCTTGAGCCAAAAGCGTCACAGCGTAATGCCGTGGTCAACTGAACCCTGGAGCGCCTGGCTTTTTCCTATAGGGTAGTACCCTTTGCACCCTTAGCGTGTGCATCAACTGAAAAAAGGAAATGACTCGTGAATCACACTCCCCCTGGCTTCGTTGAAGCCACTTCACAAAAATTTCCTCTCTCAGGTGTTCACCGCTTCATAGCTCCTATCAGAGCTGTCATCAACTCTCAGCTGCGATGACATCCTGAATCTCCTTTCTTCTCCCCATGGCTCCGTCCTCCCAGGCCGACTTGCTGGCATCTGGGGCGCAATTCACATCCAAACCGGCACTTCATCTGGATCAGGCGCTGCTGGCCCAGCTCCTTGAGTGTCTGGCCCCGATACTCCTCTGGCCTGTGTGGTGCCAGATTGTTACTGACCACCCTCCATCCATCGCTCACCATGTCATCCAGCGAGCGACGCCAATCTGCCCTCAGCCTCCAGAGTCATGTCCTCCAGGACAATCCTCCAATCCTCTCTCTCTTCCTCACTGAAGGTCGAACCATCGTGTCCTTGTCCACCCTGTGGTGCTCAAGTAGACTTCAGCATTTGCCCAATCATCTCTGGAGGTGTCGTCTTTGACTGGCACTGATGTCAAGAACCACATGGAGTACTTGGGAGAATACCAGAAAAAAGAGAATACCAAAAGCAGGTGTCCACCCCTTGTCCACCTCACTCATGTTTGGAGTATCATCTTGGCCAGTCACAAGAGACCTCAGCAAATACACAACTGGCACAATACCGTTTTTTTCCACAGCTGCACAGCCGCCTGCACCTCAGCTTCCTTCGCCTCCCCGATGGATGAGCGAAGTGCTGCAGCATAGTTCTCTCTCGCTTCCCGCTGCTTGCCATCTAAAAAATATAAAATAAATTTGGCCCATTGCTCTATGTGGCTCACTGACTGCCCGACATCGGTTGTCATAAACTCTTACTATTCTTAGCATCTGGTGGCAACGGCACATGGTCACTGAAGCTGCCTTTGAATCCACAGAGCCAGCTGCTGCAGCCTTCACTATTGCTCCAGCATAGATGGCGCTGATGGCGGGACAGCGTTGACCCGAGCAAAGGTCTTCGCCTTGGCTTTTGCCACGTCATCCTCCTCTGTTCGCTGAGACGTACTTGACAGTCCCATCCCCGTCACTTGAGCCAAAATGGCTATGGACAAACCGCACACCCGGACAAACAAAACTGTGTGCGTTAACACCTCATTTGGCTGGGAATAGATCTTTCAACTCTGAATTCCCTTAGGAATCTTAGGATCACAATTTGTTCAAAAACCTCGTGGCTGGGCTCTCTACCGAAAATCTCTCCGAACATCCGTCCGATGTGGACCGTCCGATCGCCCGAGCCACCACTGAAGCTTCAAGGCAGCAAGGACGGCATTGTAGCTCACCACCTCGGCCGCTGACGCGAGCGGCCGTGGCGACGACCCGAGACACTGAGTGGGTTTTTGGAAGCATTCACCCCACCTATTAATTGGTCGGACACCCAAAAGAAACACCCAACCGCTCCATGTGTGGCGCCGCGTCCGCGCCAATGCGGCCGCGCCAATCCATGCACCACCCAACACCACCAGTCATTCTATAGACCTACATCCTTTGAACAAGGTATTCGTTCTGTACCATCCTGTACCCATGTTCCGAGCTACGACCGGTTCGACTCTGGATGTCGCTGGCAGAGACAGACCGCCGATGGCTGTGAACAGAAAGCGTTGAGTGGTTCTTTACACTCATCCAATGGGACTGTGCATATTATATATATACATTGGGGTCATGGGGTACATGTATGTATATAAATGATTGTATATATGAATGTATATGGCTATTCCATACATGGAGTATCTGGGCTAGGAAGTCTGAGAAAGAAAGGAATTGGCTCCTAAATAATCCAAACAACCAGTTCAACCAGCCTAGGGCAAGATGAGCATTCCGTGTACGGGTCAGTGGTAGGTACATCCCAACCTATCAACCTGATGTACAGAAACCTCTTAGGATAGAATCAATGGTTTTCGCTCCACAAGGTGTCCTACTTGTTCTACAGAAACGTGTCATTCAAAACAATGCCAGCTTAGTACAACACTGTATCACAAGTTTCAGCCCTTATCCATACAAACTGCGCCACTAGTGGCAAATTACTCTGACTAGAGTGCTTGTGACCCTGACATCTATGATAGTTTCTCGGTGAAATGTTTGTCCAAACTCACTCCGGGTTCACTGTCCACTGAGTCCATTCCCGACTTCTTTCGTGGTCAGGTGGCCGTGGGCTTCAAAAAGGCTTTGGGCATTGAGGAGAAGAAATGAAGTGCCATCTCCTGAGTGACGCGCTCAACTCTTCCACCTTACCGCGAACTTGCCCAGTTCGAATGGAACGCTGGGATCGAACTAACCAAATTCCTGAAGAAGTGATGCCTTTTTTTATTCTTTGCCAGATTGAAAGCAACAAACCTTTGCACAATGTAAGATATGTAAGAATATCTACTCCCCGGCCTCCGGAGTTGCCAAACATGCCCCCCTTCCAGTGCTGAGATTTCTCTGCTTCTCTTGTGTCCTTGGCTTCTTGAAATTCCCCTAGGGCTCCAACCATATCCTCAGGTTCGGTGGTTAGACCCCCCCTAGCACCCACCCCAACCACCGAACCTCAGGAGGTGGTTGAGGTGTAGGGTTCCTTGCAGGCAACATACATGCATTTGAGGAGCCCAGTCCACCTGGACATCCAACACATTCGTCACGTTTGGACCGTTAAGTCACTGGTCTGGGCTTTGGGTCGGTGTTCGAGGCCAAAACCAAAGCTCTTGAGACGTCTCATGGATACAAACTCTGTACCATTTGGAATCGTTTGCTGGAATCATGTCCCATGTTTGTCTCGTGTCGCATGTTTGGAATCATGTCCCATGCTGTTCCTGGAAGTTGGGTCCAGGTACCCCACGGCCACGAGTAGTAGTCGGCTGGGTTGACAGTAACTCCAAACCCATCGAGCCGAGAGTCCCAACGGTTGCCGAGCTCTAAGGCTGAAATGGTTGCATTGTACCTGTTTGGATCATTTGCGAAGGTATGGGACCGTGTCATGTTCAAGTCATCATAATAAACAGACCAAAAGCCTCCGGTCCACCACCTCGTAAGTGTAGATTCTAGACATATAGATTAGAATTATATAGATTTATATAAATATTTAGACCATCCATGAACACTGTGCTGTCATCGAGCTAAGGGCGGGGAATTTCGAGTATTCCTCGTCCCCCATACCGATGGTAGGGGCTGCCTCAGCGGCCTCCAGTGTGGCCATTGTGGAGGACTGCGCATCACACACACAATCTTGAAATTCACGTGGAGGCCACAAGAAAGTCGTCCAGAAATGCATAGCTCAGACGCCAAGGTCCGAGGGTCACGAAGCAAAAAGGGCCGATCTTCTCAGAAACGCGAAAGGAACGCTGGGGTGAGGCGCGAAAGGACCTGGTCCGCCCGCCATAGCGACCAGGTCGGCCCATAGGCTTCACTTGGGCGTATGTTCCGGTCGTCTTGACGCCGACTGGTGGGCTGCCTCGTTGTCTACTTCTACTTCTACTTCTACTACTTCTACTACTACTACTTCTACTACTACTACTACTTCTACTACTACTACTACTACTACTACTACTACTAATAAGTGGCTTGGTCACCATAGACGAGTTTGCCCACGTGGTCAGCACAGGGTGTAGCTGCACCTGGTGGCCTGGCGACCCTTTTGGGTTTGGAGTTGGAGGGACCAAGCACCTTCTGAGAAACTGGATTCTTCACCGACAATTGGCACTAGTCTCTCCACTCAATTGCTGTCTGGCGCATGTGCCGCATGCGCTCAGATGGGAAATCCACCGGTGTAGCCCAATTGGCCCATGAACTCATGTTTCACACAACACTTTCTCCATGACACATACGGTGAAGGCACATCACCACCCTTTCCAGTGATTTGGCCATTTGCATCGCCCTTGGACACGAGTTGATCCGGGTGTGATCCGCGTTGATCCGGGTGCACCAACCGTCATCTTGGATCGGAAGAGATCGGAAGCACCGAGCCCTCGGCCCAAGAAGAAGTCAGGCCCAAGGCAGGCTTCACTGCCCAAGACCAAGTGCGTCAGGGAAATACTGGGATAAGACAATGAAACAAAGGGGATACAAGAAGGCAGACAAGTGGAGAGACAAAATCATCTTGTGACAGGATGTGATTCTTGCAAGTCAATATATAGAGCCCAAACAGCAAGCTGTTTGGGGAAACCACAGGCCACTAGCAACCCGACCTGATTTGGAAATCCTCCCCTTGGTTGAAAAGTGTTGGACAGGATTCCTCCAAAGAAAGGAATCCTCACTTGCCATACCCCCCAGCCCTTTGAACAGAACAGGGACTTACCATTTTGACCGCACAAGACATTCTGATCCGGAGCTACGAGCAGTTGTGACATGATGTTCGTCTTGCAGTCGGTGCTCCATCCCTTTGTAACTGATCGTTGGCTGCGGGTCAGGTACAGGTCCCTGGGTCGCACGTGTACACGTCGGACGTGAATGGCATGGCGTGAAAGAAGTGCAAGGCCAACTTCCAATGCTGTCCTGGAGATCCAAGGTCCCCAGGGCCGCTTTTGTCTGAGAAGTGCCCACCTGGAGTCTCAAGTCGTGGAACAATGAGAACAAGTACCTGGTCTTTTTTAATAAACAAATCAAATCTATATATAAATAACACAAATAAATCAACTAAATTTTAACATAGCTTATTTGTTTTATGGGGGTCATATATCCCCATTTGTTGTTTTCGAGTCCAGGTAGATTCTTTTAAGGGACTTTGCAGTCCAGGTAGATTCTAAGGCCACATGGACAGACTCAACTCAGAACCCCTTCCAAGCCCGCTCAGCAAAGACTACACATAGTTCATGTACGAAGAGTCATCTCGCCACTTACTCACTGGCATGCAGTCTCCTGCAACACATGCACTGATGGTGGCATTGTAGACCTAGCTCCGAACCCGGAACAGGCACGCTTGTTGAAACGGTTGGTCCTCCCAAATAAGTCACATCGTGCAGGATTCTACCAAAACACTCCAGTCACAGCTCTTGGTCCCAAAACAACCCAACCTAACAATTGCTTTGACACCATATCCCTCCATATGAGGGTCCAGGGTCGCTTTGTTTTGCCCAATTCCTCTTTTCACCAGTCCAATTTGGAGGGTCAATTCAAACGTGCATTGCGCTTGGGAAACACCGCGGACCCCAGGTCCTATCCTTCCAAAATCTTCTAAAGCTCATAATTCAAGATGGTTCAAAGCTGCTAACTGCCAAGTACTTTAAACATGTTTGTTTGATGAACCGCCACATGTCTTGTTTCATGCGTAGCATTGCGTAGCTTCATCATTCATCAGTCAGCAGCAACTCTGACTTCGCATCCCTCATGATTTTCAGGATGGTCTACCTCAGCTACCTCCTAAATTAATGATTCGCAATCATTGGTCCGGTCTATCTATGTCTATCTACATCCCTTCCAAAACCCTGGCGTCCCTGGCCCAAAGCTAAAACCGGTTGACCACCGGTCTCCCACCGAGCGGTCAAACTGGTCCGATGAACACGCCGCTTCACATCGCCGGCGATCGCGATGCGAGCCGGCCACCATCCGGGCACGTCGCTACGAATGGAGCAAGAAGCTACGAACGTAACAAAAGTATACAACAGTTTCAGAGTCTGACTGATCAGTTTCAAGGATTTGAAGACAACAAAACAACAAATCCGTTCAACACCCGTTCCTCGCCTGTCTGAGTTTGATGCACCGCATGTCGTCGTGTGGATGGATTGGTGAAACGAATAGGTCTGAGCTACGTGCACCCCAAATTGACTATATAGATAGGGAGGCTGCCCGGGAGGCTATTCACCTATACCATGCCTTGGGGAAGATTTGGGTATCGCTTTGACCAAGCCCTGTGCCAAAAAAAGCAACACCAGTGGCCTCCAGCAATTGCCTTCACCCACCAAATTCAGCCTGACCAACCAAATGCAGCCAAGTCGCTGTGGCATTTCCTCACTTGGCAAGCGCGAGGACAACAAACATGACTTGACTCCCTTCCTACCCGAAAGAACATGGGACATGGCCCTATAAAGTCGGTACTTGTACCCATGTCCCATGTATAAACTGCGACTCCAGGTGCAAAAAAGATTGTCCTTCAAATTATTAGTCGTGACTGTACATCAAACATTTGTTAGAACCACCCACTGCAAAACACAGCTGCTCTGAGCCACCTCTTCGGATGCACAACCTTGAGAAATTCCTCTCAAAACGACCATCATTCTCAAGAATTTCGCTCTGGTTCTCATCGAGTTTCTCTCAATCCTTTGTCTGTCCATGTCCGCAAAAAGGTGCAAGGTCATTGGCCAGCCTGAAACCATCGGTGGAAAAGCAGTTTTGGAGCAAAAAACAAACGCATATTGTACTGATCGCGTCTGATGGAACAAAAACAAGGATTTTCTTATCAGCACAAAACCTATTAATGCCTCACTTGAAGGTCTATGAACTACTGTCCCCACAAGGGGCTACCTGCATCTTACTTCTGTTCCGCACAGGCGGCATGACTTCCGTTATCCCTGCAGTGGCAGCAATATTGTGTCTGTGGTGGACTGCCATCCGTGAGGGGAAATGGGAACACAAACAGAGGTCTTGATCTGTGCTTCAAGCAAGCGGCCACCCTAGAAATCATATCAAATAGTATCAATACTGTAACTACTGTAATTTTTTTATCACCAACAGCAGTGGCAACATCTTAAATCTTGGGATGTGTAAATCGTGTTCCTCGATAGGGACACCCCTTTAAATATGATGTGCAATCAACGTCTAGCAAAAACAACAAGTATGCAAAAACAACAAATTCTCGATTTGCGCAAGCCTCGCCTGCCGCTGAGCTAGCCCCAATGGCTGTCCCTGCCAAAGTCGACCGAAACAGGTCGATTGACCTGGAGTCGACCCGTTGGGGCCTTGGAAAATGAGTCGACCCGATCGTAGAAGTAGCTGTTTTTGTAGGTCATGTCATGTCATGTGCGACATCTCCCATTTTCTGAGCGTCCTTTCTAGCGTCCAGATTTCAGAGTTTTCTAAGAATCACACACCACCCGCCACTAAGAATTGCCCATGTGCTGTCCGCTGGAGCTGCTCCGACGGCCATGTGCTGTACGCTGAAGAAAGAGGGCCGGGGCGCCAAGATGATTCTTGGTCGCCGACAAAAACGAGGAAAGTTGATGTCAGCCATGAACTCAAAATTCATCTTTTATTTGATCCCCTTGTCCCATCGGTCAAGCTACCGACCCTGTCTGAATCATCTTTGAGGTGAACAATAGTGAACACTTCCTTGGGTGTGCTACAATGTCGACCAAGAGAAACACGTGGCTGAAACATGTAAAACTTCCACTCGCGGTTGCGGCTCCCAAAATACACCGCGACACCATCCCATCCCATCACGCCAACCACCAGCGAAACCACGGGGGCGCCCAACGGCGCGGAAACCGTGCCCCCGCCGTGCCCATCCCCCTCGCCATAGCTGACGACATCCGGCTCCAAGCGGTAAAGCCCTGCGGAGCGAAGGAGCTCTAAGGCTTCCAGCCAGGCCTGTCCTCGGTGACAAAGGAAGGAAGCAACCAAAACGAAGACCTGGGCTCGGGTGGGCCTCGCCACTCTACGGATCCTTTACAATCCTTGAAGCTCTTAAAACTAAGAGAAAAAACTACCAGCAACATTCTGAGGAAGCTGAGCTCGAGCTGCCTGCAGTGTGGCAGGTGCTGATCGTCTGCGGCGATCGTACCGCATGTAGTAGCCCTCAAGAACCCACCTTATGAACTTCTGCTCTAAAGACCATCTCAGATTAAGACAATCTTAGGAGGGATGAAGGCCAATGGCGTACAGAACTTGTGAGAGCATGCGGTCTTCCTGCGCGTTCCAGCGGTCTGAAAGCGGTGGACTAAGCGGTGGATAACTGGACACTGAAACATGACAAATCCATGGTTCCGACCCTTCAAGGGGGTGCTCTCTGAGGCGAAGTTAACACTTTCTCTATTTTACCGCATGGTTTGACGCATCTATTGGACATGTGTGCATGCATCTATAGGACTCTAGGCTCGGTATATATATATATATATCAATATCCTCCACTTGTCTTCGGTCGCGTGACACCCAAACAGCACTCTGAATCGATTGAGGACCATGCTTGTTTGTTTGAGATGTTCATGGGATGAGGAGAAAAGCTGTCCCAACCGTATCCAAACTGGACTTTTAACATCTGACATGCCGGGATGGGTCGAGTAGGCTCCTTTGATCTTGTCTTTGTTGAGCTCAGCTTTCCAGTTTGGCGGCAACATCCGAAGCGGCATGAAATGCAGGGCTCCAACTACCGGGCTCGTCACTGCTCCGTGGACCCCGGCACCATGAGTCGAAGGAACCCACAAACACTCGGAGTACCGACAGAAGTACATACAAAAAGGCAACGTTATTCTTCTGAAGTAAGTACATGGAATGCATTATGAATGAATAATATATAATAACATGTCTTTTCTCACGTGAGAACAAAAAATGCTATTCATACCAAAAACATCAGATCGTGGTCTTCGTGCAGGTCACGCTGTCTCACACATGTCGGAGGATATTGGTGGGATTCGGGGGAAGGCATATTTACCTGGACACGACTTAGACAAAAATAGGACCATGGTCCGAATGACCCGACCTACTTGCTTGTACTCGTATACTCATTTTCAGGTACGAACCGGTGTCGACTCCATACATCTGCCTAACCTGAGCTTCCTGACCCTTTGTACATGCAGACAGGGTCGAGTTGAAGCCTTGGGTCCGGTCCGGCTGACGGAATGAGGCTTGAAACGCTCAGGAGGCCCACGAGCGAGGGGTTGCTAATTGCCTTGTGTAGAAAGGAATTTAGAGGATACAGGGGTTGCCAGGCTCTATTCCAATACACAGACCCATCTACTTTGGAGGTTGGATGGTTCTTGATGCACTTGGATGGTTCTTGATGCACTTTCTAAACTTCTGTTGCGTACCCTGAATCCGCAAGTCTCGAAGGGCTTTTGAGGTCGCCAATCCAAGCTGACGAATTCCAACATCGGGATCTTTGATAAAGCACGTTGAGGTTAAGTTGTTTCCTTGTTCATCCGTCTTCTGCCCCTTAAGTCTTGCAAGACAATTCCATGGCCAGATGATGCCAGAAGCTTAGTTCCTTTCATCTCTTTTGCTTCGTCCTATAAATCTGTCAACACCTAGGCCGACCTCAAATTACCTTTCAAAATGGGACATGGCCGCCATGGCCCTATAGAAACAGGTACTTGTACTCACTTTCCGAGGTACCTTGAGACTCCAGGGATAGGAAACGTCTCCAACGGCTGCAACCTGCGAACCCCAGAAACTAGCCACAATCTAAAACCGTCAATGAATAGGAATCATCCCCAGTTGAATACGTCCGTATACCTCCGCCTTTCAGTTGTCTTTGAAACAGTGAAACATCACAAACGGAAACAACAACAAACAGGCATATCAAGAAAAATGGATGCCATTGATGAATACAATCCCCCCCAAGCCTTGGATGCACGTTGACCAAACCTCCTCATATAAAAATATAAAGTTTCACATCTTCGGATTACGTTGGACCAGGCGCAGACCACATCAACGCCCCGAATGCTTTGGAAGAACTCCTCGGGGAGTCGCGGTAGCGCGAACCGCGCGGTGCGCGGTTCCGTCGTGGTGATGGTGACGAAGGAACGACCCCGGAGAAGCCACCCGGAGTTCTTAGACGTCTAAGTGTGAGTGGATGTGACGTCGGGGCACCTGTACTCCTTCCTCCATTCGGAACTCGGCAAACAACTCCATGGATGTTGCGGGTGCTCATGTCAGAATGATTTCTATTTGACCCAACACACTGCAAAAACTCCTACTTGCAGGTTCAAATCTGAAGTTATATACGGTAAAACAGTGTTTGGAAACTACGATGCCATCGTTTCACCCCAAAAGCACTAACTGACTCAAAAACATTGTTCTTGTGTTTGAGTTCCTGCTGGCATCATGGTGCATCTAGTGTGACCAACCATGCTAGGTTCCATGACCCAAAAACCAGGGGTGGTGATAAAAATGGTTCGCATGGGCATCCCGGTGAACAAGGTATCCCGGTGCCATGACCTACAAATGCATGTTTCCTCACTTCATTCCTGTCCCAAGTCTCAATGGCTTGCTGCCAACGATGGCCCTTGTCACAACTGTTCAGCGCAATTCCGTAGCTCAACCTGAAGGCGCCATCGATGAACGAACCCAAGAACTTGGGTATATCCTACGACCAACAACAGTGGATGACGATGGTTATACAGTTGAGGCCTTTCTATGCCTTTTTCTAAAGAAGAGGAAATTGTTTAGAGGCTGTTACAGGCAATGGGACAAACCAAAACCAATTCATTGGTTGGGGGGTCTCCCCATTAAAATATTTCATCGATGATAATCGCATGTCTGAGTCTTCCTGCCACACACACCTTTCTTCCAACCAAGGCCCTCGTGTTTGTCATTATGCCCGTGGGACATTGTTTGACAACCAACACATGGCACAAATGGGTGATGAGGGGTTCTGGCCCAGGTCTTTGCAGCTTCGGCGCAAGTCTCGTTGAGACATGTCCATGATGCTGAAGATGTGCATGGCCATTTGCCACTGGTGCCCCCCGCACGCATGCATTGGAGCAGGCATTGAAACTCACCGTATTCCTGCAAGACGCAACAAAAATGATTGTGTTCAATGGCAAGTCCAAGAAATGTTCTTGCACATTCACCAGCAGTGTAGTTTACAGTAAAACAGGCCAACAAAACAGAACACCAACAAACACAACCAGCTTGAATGAGTGAATGTTTTATTATACCGATATTTTGGAAGCATCGTGCGGACAAACATGTTAATCTTATTGTGTAGCAATCCGATGGAACCTGGCTAGTCACATAATGGCCATCCGCGGAACCAAACTACGACCGCGGGATAGCCAGAAACCCCCGACCTTTGCATGACGCGCGAAACAGTGCTTCTGGCACAACAATACCACGTCCTGGAAAAGTGGGTGCAAGTACCTGCGTTGTTTTTAGCTTTTGTTTAGAGTACCTCATGTCCTGTCCTGTGAAGAAATTTCAATGGGAAAAAGTTCACCTGGCTTAAAAGTTCTGATTTGCAATTCAGTATTTGGCAAGAACAAAAACCTAAAAGAGACTGATAATCTCAACACATACACCAATGCTTTCATAATTCTGAACTAAGATATATTTCAAAAACTATTGTTATTATTGGGAGTGTCGTATTTAGGTTCTACAATTGTAAACAAGTAAAACTGTTGCATGTACTTTTGAGTTTTCATCAAAAATTGGGAATGTCGTATTTAGGTTCTGACATTGTAAACAAGAAAAGCTGCTGCATGCAGTTTTGAGTATTCAAAGAACATTGTCCCTAAAATCTTTCTGTTTCTAAAACCACTCATAGAGTAATATCGGATATGTTTCTTTTTCTAGCTCTTGATACCCACTACCATGTAAATTGAATAGCATTATCAAAGTATTCCTTTTTACACATATTCTCAAAACGTTCATGTTACCATGTGATTGTTATCATTTGCTGCTTCCATGTTTCTTTCAAGTCACCGATCGTTATACCATTGCTGAATATGTTGATGTCTATGTTTCAAAAAACTAAGTGAATAGTTCAATTAAGGACAATCTCGTCTAAATACAGACTATTCTTAGCTGTAAAGGATTGAACTTAACCAAATACAAGCAGAGTTTTAACTGTTCTTCTGTTACTCCTTCAAATTCATTATTCAATATGTCCAGTGTCCTCATACATCTATTACAGCCATTGAAAATACAAGCTACTCTCAACATAGAAATTGACTGTCTGTTGATTTTTGTGTTCTATTCACCCTACAAGTTTTACACATGTTTAGTTCATATCTATGAACAAAATCACGCATAAGAACTTTGTTTACACCTACTATAATAAAAGAAGTATGTATATATATATGTGCGCTATCCATTTACAATATCTATTGTTTTAGAATAAATACTGGCAAACATCTGTACTCAACGCTAGTAGCACAGTTACTGAATTTGTGTGGTTTTCCATTAGTAACACTTTGCGCTGTCAAATTTGTTGGTATGTTTCCATCAATAATAGTCCATGTAAAGCCACACCATATTTCTAACAGTCTCTGAAAACAATTGAGTGTCACTATATCTTTCTTTTGGGAAAACCGACAAAAGCAAGTCAATGTCTGAGGGGCAAATCCTGAGACATGACGTGGTTTTGTTTTGGTGACTATGTCACAGAAACAGCAAATGCAAAGGGAAAGGGAATTGCCACACCAAAGCCTTCTTTCCAAAACAAAAGAGTGAATGTCTGACGGGCAGATCCTCAAACATGGACTTCCTTTCTCTTAGCACAAGCAAGTACAGGAGTAGTGAGTAGTAGAACACACATATATATATGTATACATGATTATACGTGTAAATCCTCCGACCCCAACCGATGGGAGAGCGCGCCAGAGAACACTGCTCGATCGAGGGGTACTGTGAGCATTTTGGGCCGAGGTGTCAAAGTCCGAGGCGACAAAGCCGGAGGGTGGGGAGAAGTAGACGCTCCACTTTCACATTCATAGAGCCAGGAACGGATGGCTTGGTATGGGGCCAGCCACTCGTTGAAACTGCACACATCACCATCATCTTCACCAGTGGAGCTGCCGGACCCCTTACCTAATACCACGTGTGCTACCTAAAGACCAACACTCACACACTTCGACCACGGTTTAAAAGAACCACCTCACCAACCGGGCCTCCCTGGCAAGCCTTGACATGTTCATCGCTCAGGCTCGAACAAACGTACCCCTCACCTATCCCGCTCGCGCTACGGGCCGTGGTGGGGCTATGATGAAACCGAAGTGACCGGGCTGCACGGCGATCATTCTTGGAGTCTTGGAGTCTGGCAAAGCAATCATCTTCTTGTGCAATCATCATGATGACATCGAAATTCAACATATGAAGCAATTTGTGCAATCATCTGCAGTGCACCTGAAGACATCAAAATTTCAACATGTGAAGCAATGCCTCCACGGCGACTGATGGCATAGGATCGTGCCAGGTGACAAGCCGCTGGGCCTCACAAGTCGAAAAAAAATCGAAACACAAGGCAACAAAGTAGAAGCACACTAAAACCAAGGCAAGCACTGGCTCTGGAGGTGCATCCTCAAGTGCCTTCACGAAGGACCGATGATCTGCCTCCCGGATAAGGAATTGCAAAATCAGTGCAAGGTGCAGTACAAGTAAGGAGGTGTGAAGACTTGCCTCAAGTGCCAGGGAGGGTCATGATCGGCCTCATGGATACTCGAACTGGAAAGCCTATACAATTAAATTTCATGAAACCTACAACTCCAGCCTCACGTCTCTTCTTTCCCAAGGGCTCGGTCTCAGCAGAGTTCTCAGCGGATACCTGTCACATGACTTGCAGTGAACACAATGAGGTGAATGAAGTGAGTGAAATCCACAAGGGCCTCATCGAGCTCCAGTCTTCTTTGCACACTGGCCTCAACCAAAAAAGAACGCAAACAAAGGCAAACAAATAAAGGAAGAATCCAAACTTAAGGACGACGCCATCATGCTGTCTGGTCTCCGCGGCGTCTGCGCGACAATGGGCAGAAATCAATGGTTCAAAGAAAACATAGATATAGATCCCCAAATAGATGGAAGCGCAAATCCCATAAATCTGGGCCACGCCTCCTCCCACCAGGCCTCACCATGAACATAGTTCCAAAATACCATACTACCCAACTCTTGCATTCCGACATGAAACCAAAACAGAATGGTCAAATCGGTGCATTTAGGCCCTGACCTTTTGGCGGTCGTGAGGCCAATGCTGGTCATAGGCTTTGGTCTCTGCCTTAATTCACCCATGCCTGGTCAAGAGCGAACTTCATTCAATGCGACTGCAGCACATGTCAATCCAGAACCTTGTCAGCCTCAGACCACTCGGCGGCATCAGACTGGCACGGGAACAAGAATTGCAAATTGGATTACGTCGCAACACCAAAAGATTTTGGCCTCCTTAGTCGGCGAGCCCTCTGGTTGATTGGGATGCTTTGGTCCATCAGCGGCCTCAACCAAATTGGAACGAAAGAAAATTCTGAAGCAAAACATCCATTGGCTGGCGCACATGGCCTCGCGCATGGATTCTGGCATGTCACAATCTGTCCGCTCCCATTCTGCCTCAAAGAAAAAAACACAAAGTCAGTGAGACTCAAAGTCACAATCACACGCGTTGGAGCCTCCTGCTGCTGGGCATCCTGGGATTCCTGGGTGGGATCCTGGAGAAATGTTGGGATGCAATGAAGCTGTAAAAGTAAAAGTGAAACCTTGAGATCTCCTCCCTTCGAAAGCAGGTGCAGGACCACCAAGAGCAGTTCTGGTAGCAAAAGTCTGGCACGTCCACCACCTCCTGACAGAAAGAAATTTGACCAAATTCATGCAAGACTCACGATCAAAACTCCTGCTGGTTGTCACCGTCCCACCATCGATCCTGTGAGAAGCAGGAAATGAGAGAGAGAGAGAGAGTACAATGTGGCGTTTGCACCTCATCCTTCCATCCATCAACCCATCCCTCCTGCTAGTTCAATGCGGGAAAGCATCAACAATGCAAAGAAACGTCCAACAATGAGAAGAATGCAAAAGTACAATAATGCAATGCAGCGCAATTCCTCCTCTGAAACGTCGGGATGTGCACCGGCTTGGTCCTACGAAATGGCAAGATGAAAAGAGCAAGATGAAAACAGCCTGTGAAAATCAAAATCTCCTGGTCTCCATCACCAACCTGACAACACGGCTCAAGATCATGCGCTTGGTAGTTACTACAGTTGAAAGAAAGCTCGGACGTTGGCCTCTGAAGCGTCCAAATCGGTGTCCTCACAGAACACACGAGCACAAACATGACATATGTATATGTTGCATATAGTCATATATATAGTATATACACGGAAGTGGAGAGTAAGAGTCATGCGGAGTTCCAGTCAAAAGAGCATATGTGCAAAGTTTCGTTTTTACGTGCAAAAGAACATCAGTCTGGCAGGCCTCGATCTCCGCGGCTGGATTGTACATGGCTGCAGCTACCTCGAGCAAAGACGACCAGTGACGGAAAACAAGTGAGCTAGTGAGTGCTTGGGGCAACTAAGCGTGGAACCAGGGAATCCCCACACCCCTCAAAAAAGTGGAAAAGTGCATGTTTGTAGAGAAAAACTCAAGGACCTTCAAAACACAAAGCCCTCCAAACAACAGAAAATTAACATGCTCAAGTCCAATCTTAGCTGCCAGAGGCTGGGTTTCCGCCTCATCCATGGTAGGCACACGTGGCAACCTCTTGGTTCGTTTGGCCAGTTTTTGTAAGCGCAAAGCTTGTTCAAGTGGCAACTATGCCAAAACTCTTCTGAGGATCTCTGGCAGGTGATAGCTCCATCATGAGGCGCTTGCAAATCGCGATGCATGCTTTTTTTGGCATACACTCTGCCAGAGAATTCTCTCAACACCCTGAACCGTTGGTTTTTGGCCTTGCGAAGGTCTTGACACCTTGGAAAAAAGTACACCTGACGATTGTACCTCATCGACATCAATGACCTTCAAGAGCTTCTCGACAATGCCTTTGCAAAGCCCTTTCCGGCGCTGGCGTTGTCA